GGCAGCCCCGCGCCACAGCAACGACCCCACTCGCAGCGCCACAGACCTACTCGGCCCCATCGCCGGCGCCGCGAGTGACGTCACGGGGCGGAGCCCACGGGACCCAGGAGGCGCTACGTTTTCTGATTGGCCAGGTCGATCAGCGCAGCCCGAAGTAAACGTCATGTGTGTGGGCGGGGCCGGGACCTGGAGCTAGGGTCCTTGGGCGGAGTTTGGGCCCTAGTCTGAACGTCAGGGGCTGGGCAGGTTTGATTTGCGGGTAGGTTTGGACAGAGTGCTCATCCGTAATAGGTACTCAAGAAATGTTTAATACATTATTTAATTTGTTTGAAGTAACAACGTGCTAAGCACGGTGGCATAAATCTGCAATCCCAGTATTCTCAGAGGCTGAGGCAGGAGGGTCGCAAGTTCAAGTCCAACCTGAGCTATTTAACGACTTTGTGAGACTCTATCTCAAAAAAATAAAATAAAAAATAAAAAGAGCTGATGATGTAGTTCAGTGTGAAAGCCCTGGGTTCTATCCCCAGTACTACACACACACACACACACACACACACACACCCCCTCCAAGCATTCATTTTGGGGAAATTTTTTATAAAATAAAGAAACTAAGTGCCTACATTTCCCACCCCAAATATTTACAATTGTTCAGTTATTTTCGAAAATTAAAAAAAATATTACAAAGTTAAGTCTCCTGTGTTCTTCAGTTCCAATCCCATCCTCTTCAATTCCATTTCCTTCTAGGCATGAATTTGCTGTTCCTCCTAGTTTTCACCACCCTTTCCAAGTTCCCTCCTGTCTCCGAGCATCCCATACCTGCTTATCCATTTGTATTGGTCTCAAGAATGATCACTACTTGCAGGTAGTGAGCATATGGAAAGCAGTACAGCCATGCCTCACATGAGGGGAATTTGTTCTGAAAAATGTATTGTCAGGTAATTTTGTTGACGCAAATGTCAAACAAAGGAAGACAGCTAAGATATTACTAGATGATACTGGTGTGATCCTATTATACCACCATTGTATATGTGATCTGTCGTTGATAAAGGCATCATTATGTGTTGCATGACTGTATATCATCTGTTTACAAATTGGCCTCATGGGAGAAGAAATACTTCAGTCGTTCTGATAAAACCCACTAGAAAAGGATCACCAGGAATGCAGGTGTGGCCAGGTACAAGGAAGATGGCACCCCAGGAGGATGGAGGCGCATCTCAGTAGAGGCAGGAGAAGAGGATTTGCTTAGGGCCTGTGCTTGTTCTGCGCAAGTCTGAGAGACCAGAGGAAGTGGGGTCAGCTTGAAGTGGGAGCTGAAGCAGAAGCAGTTCAGCAGTTGGGTCTGGTCTCTTCAGTAATTTTTGATCAAGAGATAGGAGAATGTGCCCGGAACTGGTGATGTCGTTGGTCACTCACAAGGACTGTGTGGTCTTGGAAGTCCACGTTAGAAACATTGCTTTGCGTTCCATTAGGAACTTCACCCCCTGACTGCCAGGAGGGTTGAGAAGTGGAGTCAGAGCCCTCATTCTGCAGGAGTATAACAGGAGGAATGTAGACGGTTAGACCTGAGGAAGGAGTGATGCCCATGAAAATAAAAGGGAAGCTACAACAAAATCAACACTGAGAGGTTTTCTAAATAGAGTCTGGAGGCCATTAGGGAAGCAGGACTTCTGCGTGATGCAAGCTACTCTGGGGAAGGTGGACTCCTGCCACCTCCCACTTTGATTGCCAGCTTCTAGAACAGAAGTTTCAGTGTGCTCAGACTCAAGATGCGTCTCAAGGGGCTATGGACTCGTGTTTCATGGACATTTTTATGAAGTATGTGCATTCTTTGGTCTATCGACCACGTGGCCCCTGTTGCACAGCCGCTGTTTTCAACCCTAAGAGAACTTTTCCCTACCGAAGGATTTTACTGTCTTGTAACAACAGCTTGCCCATCTTCCCTCCCTTCTTCAGAACACTGATTCAAACTATCTGCACTTGTGTCTCCTGAACAGCACTTCCTAAGAGCGCAAATAACGATCTTTACTTTTATAGTTTCTGAGTCTAAATGGATTGGCTCGCAGAAGCTGCAGTCTGTGAAATGATTCCCTGGGCCCACTCATCTCAGGCAAGTTTGGGGTGCTCCATTCACAATGAAATGACTCCAAACAGCCGTTTCTCATCACACATGAGTTCAGAGACAAAGGTTGTCAGCACCGAGTCCTCACTGTTAATTACAAAAGCCATTTTCCAGGCCACTTTGACCTGAAGAGAGACTTGGGAACAGCTATTACACTTATGAAAGATTTTGGACAAGCAAAATGCCCACCCTGTGAGAGCTGGAACTTTTACTGTTGGCCTTGAACTTCATTTTCAGATAAAGGCAGGAAGAGGAGAGAGTAGTTTAATAATCCCTACCTTTGGAGTGCTTGGTTTGGGGACTGGGAAGTTCAAACTGGTTTGGTTACAAATTAAACCCACCTTTGCTTACTTCACAGACACATTTATCTATCATATGGTGGCGGTGTCTTCTAATCTGTGGACAGAATCTTCTGCAAAGGAACCCTAGGTCCACAGATGCATCAAACATTGCCTGTGAAGTGAATATATTTTCTGTAGCAGATGGAGATGGATACTGCTGGAATTCAGTCAAATTTTACAGTATTTGAAAGTATTGTTTCAAACCACCTTTTTGTCATGCATGTATTTGATGATATTCAGAGAGCCACAATTTTTTTAAAAAGTCGCTATAATAAAAAAAATCGCAACTACTACTATCTACCTCAGAGATCCTCTCAGACCTCTCGGGCCACTCATCCCACAGCTGGGGAGCTGTGCCTAATGGTAAATATTCTTGTCATTTAAGTTTAATCACTTACCCCTGGATTTCCTCTCTTTACGGTTTCTGCTCTTTAGAGACTTTACTGAGAAAAGAGCTAGGATTAAGGGAACTTCTCATCGATCTAATACAGATATCCTCAAGATTATGTGTTTGTATATTTCTATTTAAAAACTATTTTGTGCCTGGCATGGTGGTGCACTCTTGTAGTACCAGCACTTGGGAAGCTGAGGCAGGAGAATTGCTGTGAGTTCAAAGCCACCTTGGGCTACATAGTGAGTTCAGGTCTGGCCTGGACTACATAGCAAGACCCTGTCACCAAAAAATCAAAAACAAAAAACAACTCCCCCCAAACAAAAATTATCTTGTCCCTCAATTTGTATGTCCCTAATTAGAAAGAGCGAAAACCTTTTAAAGAGAAAACAAACAACAAGGACCCCTAGGGGTAGGCACTTTCTACACCATAGGCTCCTGAGGGGTACGGGGTCTGCGTTGTCTACCTGCTCAGATGTCTAGTGTTGGATTCCTAGGCAAATCCTTTGTGCTGTAAGGACAGGGAGTCCCACTTGGAGTGAGCATTGAGGCCTGAGATAAAACGAACATTAACTTGGGTGCAGGGGTGGATGATACTATTCTAGCTCTTTGGCAGGCTAAGGCGGGAAGATCACAAGTTCAAGCCTGGCCTGGCCAACTTAGCAAGACCCTATTTCAAAACGAAAGTGTAATTCAGTGGTTAAGCACCCCTGGGCTCAATCCCTACCATGAGAGGGAGTTAGGGAGGGAGGGAGAGTCACATCGGGGATTAGGGCTTCAACCTATGGGGAGGGGATCAGTTCATAGCAATTGTCTTCATCAGATGCTCCTGGGTGTGTGATGAGGTAGGTTCCTGTAAATCCGTGAGACTGCTTTCAGAAAAACCTTACCCACTGAGTAATTAGCTTAACAACACAGCATACTGCAGAGTACCGGTTTCTTTTCCTTTGCAGTCATGTGCTGAGGCTGACTGGGAGCGGCGGCTGAGTGTTGTACTATGGATCACCAACCTGGAGAAAGATCCAAATTCAAAATTTGATGTACAGCTTCTACTAAATGTGTGACATTTCTGAACCACTGGAAAAATCAAGAGATCCTAAGTGAAACCATAGGCTGAAGGCCATCTGTGTATTTCTTCTTTACTGAAATGCCTGTCATAGTTAGGCAAGTGGCCATTGCCTGCAATCTCAGTTACTTGGGAGGCTGATACAGGAAGATTGCAAATTCGAGGCCAGCCTGGGTTACACAGCAAGACCTTGCTTCAAAATTAAAAAACAAAAAGAGCTAGGGATGTAGCTCAGTGCTCCCTGGGCTAAATTTTCAGTACCAAGAAAAAGAAAAAAAGAAAAAAAGGCATCAGGTCCTTCTTTTCTGTATGTTTGTCATTATCATGTTAATTGGTTATACACTGAAGGCACATTTTCACCTCCTGGTTTTTATGGCATAAAATTTTACATTCTTTATTGTGTCTCTTAGCAAAACATGTTTTTTTATTTTCGTCAAGTCGAAGGTTTGCCTTTGGCTTGAGCTTCTATTGTCTTGTTCAGGAAATCCTATCTTCCTGAAATCATAATGATGTCTGTGTATTCTCCTAAAATGCTTAAAGTGTCATCTGTTACAGTTCAGTCCTTGGTTCAGAAGGAAATGATTGCGGAGCACGGACTATGGTATGGTAAGGATACTTTGTTAACATGCGGATCCAGTTATCTCAGCAGCATTTAGGGTATGATTCCTCCCATCTCTGTGGATCTGCAATGTTGGCTCACCAGATCCACATTCATATAAATCTGTGTCTGGAGTCTTCTCAGTCCCAGGGGCCTTCTTTGCTAACCCTAGCCCAATACCACACAGGTTGGGTAATTGTATCTGTTTTCCAGCTTACTAGTTCTCTCTCTAGCTATGG